AAAATCGTCATTTTTTAAAGAGAATAGTAATCCAACTGAAATTATTCATAACAATGTATCGATCCAAGCCCCGATAACATTATTTCGATTAGCCCCCCGATGACATAAACTCCCGCTCACAGCTGCAACAACAAAAAAAAACCACACGCAAGGACATATACATATATACATACATATATAAACTTATGACATGCACAGATATTCGCTCGCGCTCTCCCATTTCGTGTTCTCTCTTTCGCTCCACCAACAACAGCTGTTGATCGCAATTGCAGCAGGCACACATACATACGCGTGTACATACATTGCAGGCATAGAGTTGATGGAAGAACAGCAGGTGTTAAATTTAAAATCAAAAATGTAGCGTAGATAATATCATAAAGACGCCAGATGAACGAGAAAATTATCGCGATGTATCTGATTGTGCGCTTTTCTCATTGTTGCTTTTGCTTTTGCCTTTTATTTCACATTCATTCATTAGTTGGTGTGTTGTTTTTGTTATTGTATCGGCAAGGCAAAGGGCAACGCACCTTTTCCTTTGCTTTTGACTTTTGCTTTTGCCTAACAACAACTACAAAACGACAGCGGCAGCAACAACAATAAGAAGACGGCCAGGCAGTTCCGTTAACCGAAGCGAAGAGCAGAAAGCGAACGGCGAGAGAGTGAGCGTGCCAAAGCGAACGTGCGGCCAGAGCAAGAGCGGTAGAAAAATAGAAAGAGAGAGCGAGAGCTACATAATCACACGGTCCAGGTCCAAGTGCCGTTTGAAAAATTGACAATAAAAGAAAAAAACAACACAAAAAATGTTCCGAAGTCAATGCGCATTTCACTTTTTTTCGCTCGCCTCTTGCTAGTCTCTTCTGTTCCGTTTTCGAGTTGCTCGTATTGTTGTTGTTCCTGGTATTGAAATGCGAAAGCGAAAATTGTTGTTGTTGTGTTTGATCTGTTGATTTCTATTCCATTTTTGATTTGCATTGAAACTTTGCAAGCGAATTAAAAATAAACCAGTGGCGAGAGCGAGACAGAGTGTGCGAGCGAACTGGCGGTCGTATGGGGAGAGGGAGACGGAGACGGAGGAAGGCCTCTTGATTTCGTTTTATAAATATTTTAATCAAACTTCCATCGCACTCTTCACTGCTGAACTTACGTTTTCAACTTTTTTTTCAGATTACATTTGATTTAGATTTGGCTTTTGCCTTTGCTCTTTTTGCTTTTACATTGCTCTTGCTTTTGCATTGCTTTTGACTATGAACTTTGCACACAGAACAAACATCGATTGAACACACTTCTCACCATATCATTAAATTGTAAGCACTCTTATTGGAATTTGATAGCTGATACTCTTTACGGCGAAAATTTCACGATTTTTTCGATTGATGCCATTCGGGTATGAATTTTTCCTTTTTTCACATATTTCTTCAGCTATTTCGCTTTTACATTTTTCACACGTCGCGACGGCGACGACGGCGGCAGCGGTGTTTGCGACTGCGAAATCCAAAACAGAGTGACAAAACAAACGCCGATAACTGAGCGAACGAGCGAGAGACTGCGAGAGCGGCAAAGCAATTGCGATTGCCATTGTGATGGTGAGAGGGAGACGAAGCGAGTGAGTAAGCATGCGCAGTGAGTGTGAGAGAGCGAGCGGCATTTGAGCGGGGAGCTGTTTAACAGCGCATCCAAAATTAACAGTGCCAAAGATCGTCTTTACATGGGCATGTTAATTGGTTATGAAAATATATAAGTACACTTTTTTTTTCCTAATTATCCAATACAATTCTTGGGCTGAACAAAGAGAATATGTCTCCCCCCCACCACCAAAAAACATAAAATGTGTGAATGAATTTTGAGAGAGAGCGGCAAAGGGAGAGTAAATTGTGTGCTCTTTTGTTGCCACTGCTGGATGTTGACGCGAGTTTAATGTTAGTGTTGCCAATACATTGGAATTCGAAACCGTGCGAACAACAAAAGAAATCAGCAGGAGGTTTTAATATCTCCCAATTTTTTTTGTTTACCTTATTTAAAAACGTTAATTTTTTAATATAATTTTTATAATGAATCTAAATTGATAATACAAAAATTTATACATTCACATTTGTTCTATTTTGTGACAAATATTTAAGCCATATCTATATCAATTAATTAATTATAAAAAAAAATTACTGAGTTAGTACATCTAAAATATACTCCAAACACACACATATATATATATTTTAGTTGCATAAAATATTGTCTCGAATGTGGTTATGGTTTTTGGAAACTGTCGAATAAAATAATATTCTTTAAATTAATTTCTGGTAACTATCTATATGAAGGTCTAGTCGTATCAATTTTTACTTTAATAAGTTACCTATATGGACTAAGGGTCGAAATCCTGTGAAAATGTTGCTTCGTTATTTTAGAAATGTTAGAAATGTAGACTTTGTGGAAAACCTTTTTCGGCTCAGAAAAAAGCATATGATTTTAACTGACTGCGATAACTGATCCAACCATGATGTTCAATGTTGGTTATTAACATTAGTAAACGATCAATAAAAGTGCCCTGTTATTCTTACGCTTTAGGACTGGTGACTATCTTTTCCGGATATATGTATGTATATACCTATCAGCTGTGACAATGAGAGGATAAACTGACCCAAAGTATTTTTACATATATACGCATGTGTATATTCATAAGTACTTAGGGAACGTTTCAACCCTTTAATTTTTCTGGCCGAAAAGGCTAAATATCAGCTAAAATTGTGATAAAATTATATCGGATATGTAATTTATCTGAACAATAATGCGCAAGCACACCAGAATGCACTCGAAACTGTGAGATACATAAATACCTTTCTTTTCAGTTGGCTATCAGAGATCAGTTGCTATTTCTATGACCCGAAAAAAATTGATTTGGACTTCACGTGCCAAACAGACACAATAGATAACAAAATATTCTTAGACTGTCTGGGAAGGAAGAGGAAATCGGTCTCTTATATCTTGTGATCGCAAATTAAAAACTTGATTAAGGATAATCCCAAGAGTTGCATAGATGCACCAATTATCTTTTTTATTTACTCTTCGCCGACAGTGCCGTATCTTGTTTTAAGCCTGTTATAATAGTATAATATGAACACGCAAAGACAAACGGATTTAATTTTCCATTCAGACATAATTGGATCTTCTCTAAGGCTTTGAAAACTCATTAACCTAACAATTAACCAGCAACTTTTAGCTATTTGCAAGCATCTATCTGAATATTAGTTTATATAAAAATGGACTTATTGAATAGAGTTATCTTCAAGACAAAGAAAAAAAACCGATTTCTAAGGTTAAAGAAGACCTTCTATCTATTAATATGTATAGCTCTTTTTACATATACCCGGGGTACATTTTCACCGATTACTGGTGACGTCGCGCGGCTGCATTATTTCATCAGTCACGAAGAGCGACCGATTTTGCGACGAACACAATTCCCAATTGCCGATTTTTTCATGCGGCTCTCATGGTGTTTAAATGGACTATTGGAATGTCGGCTTTCAAACAATTAACAATTGTTCTTATCAGAATTGCCTTGAGGTGTGTTTGCCCTCTCGCTCTTTTTCTCGCTGCGTTGCTCTCAGATTTGTCTTTCTTTTCTATTTCTGCTCCAATCAAATAAATAACGAATTGAAGGGTGATAAGACTGCGAATTTCTTTCTGGCTTCGGTGCTTCTATTTAATGCAAACACCTAAATAAAAGATAAAATACAAACTTGGACAAAAACAAAATCGAGCAAACCCAAACACACTCGCACAGACATTCGCACACACGCACGCACACAGCGGCAAAAAGAGCGCGCGCGAGAGAGCGTCCGTCTGGCATTTGACGTTTATTACTTGGCAATTGTTGTTGCTGCCTCTTTTTTCTGCCTTTGCGCGCGAATTCGCTGCGCATAGCAAATTAAAATTAAAATTTTGCGAGAGACCAACAAAGGCAAAAAGAAAAAAACAAAACAAAAAAGAAAAAGCATGTAAAAAATTCAAAATTAATTTCTTTTCTTTTCCGACGGCGTGGCGGGAGAGAGATGGAGAGAGCAAAGTGTATGGGAGAACGTAACAGAGAGTGAGAGGAAGAGAGAGAGCGAGGGCGAGAGAGCAATGACGAACTTTTGACACATTTGGCTATGTTCACATATTTTGTTTATAACAATTGGCCTGCTGACTTTGCATTTACCTGCTTTTCGGTTCGTATCTCTCCTCGCTGCGACTGGTGACTGCAACTTAAATTGTTTCTTGTGTGCGAAACTCAGAAATGTTTAAACATTATTCAACACAAATACGCGCACTCACTCGCACGCACACACACAGTTACAATTTTCCTGTGTAGTAATAAGGCTGTAGTAATTTTTGTTGTTGTTGTTTCGTTGGCGGCAAGTTGTTTTTGCTGTTGCTGCTGCCTCAAGCATTTTCAACAAATGCCGATTTCCGCTCTTCTCTTTTCACATGAAATAAGTTTACTTTTATTACCGTCCATTTGTATTTTATTAGTATAAAAAAAACGAACGCGAACTGCAGTCAAAGTCACACACAAACACTCACACGCACGCACACACACAGCAACTAGTAATTCTGCTGTGCGAAAGAGACCACATTAGAGGCAGAGCGCTTACGAAAAAAGGTTTGTGTAATTTTCCCCAAAAAGCCCTTCTTTTCGGAATATTCACTGTTTTCGGCGCTTTCGGCGCGGCAGCGTTTGCCACTTTATCACTTAATTGGTTCAGTTTGCATTGTTTTTAACGGGGTTTTAAATTAAATTTAGTTGCGTGTTTTGTGTTGGTGGAGCGAGCACGAAAATACACATCGTTATCGATTCCGTGGCTATCGATAGGCAAAACATATCGGCCAGCTGATTTCGCACATATCAGCTGTTTTGCCGATAACGATACTTTTCACACAGTCTGGTAACATCGATAACAGCTTATCGATTACCCGATAAACATAAACATCGATGCATCGATCATTTTCATCGCTGTTTTGCACACCACTAACATAAATGTTTATAAATAAATGTCTTAGCTTTGGTGCGCGTGGCTTGTTTTCGTTTTGTTCGCAGAGGTAAACGCGCCGCCAAATTAGATCGGGATTTCTAGAGTTTTGTGCGTTTCACTCACCATTAAACGAAAACCAAAAGGCGCCGCGCCGCCCCGCGTTTTCTAAATCGTTCGTCTATTTACATAATTAAGTACAAAGTAATACAACACAAACAACAATAACAACATGACGAACCCCACCGATGTGCGGAAGAGAAAAGTAAGGCAAAGGTTAAATAGGCTAATAAAACAACATTTCTTACGCCAATTTTTTTGCACACACCACAAATGTGTGAATGCATGCGCTCGTTTCTAAGGCGGAAGTTCAAAATCAAATGATAAGGTGCCAATTTTAATTTTAAATTGTAGTTTAAATTTGCAATTTTTTTAACTTGATGGGAGAGCGAGTAAGAATGTTCCGCTTGATTAACTAATTATATGCAAATGTGTTTTACACACACACGGAACATTGTTTGTTTGTACCAGGCAGTGGCACACAGCTATCTGAACCGGCCGGTTTTTTATTTTTTGTTTTTTAAATAAACCAGCGCCAGATGTCCAGGGTAGCCACGCTTTCCGAGCTTCTCCCTCAATTGCAAGGTCATTGGGGGCTCAAAGAAACTAAAAAAAAGAATGAAAAAACCCACATAAAAAGGCCACACAAACAATTAAGTTGGCAGCGATTCTCGAACCTAGCTAGACCGCTTTTCAATTGCTTTCTCAGAGATACGGATAACGAAATTCAGATACACACAAGACACCTACGCCGGTGAGAAGCAGATGCAGATGCAGGTGGACCAGACCAGGACGGTGCCGGAGGAGGAGGAGGAGGAGCAGAAGCCACTGCATCGAGCAAGGAACTCGAACAGGTTGCCAGTGAGTGGGGACGTGGCCTTAACCCTGCCTGCGTGGCTCTTTTTTTATCCGCTTATCCATTAGTCCGCTCAAAGGTCAATTTGTGGGAGAATTAAATAGAAACAAAAGCGGAATTTATATATATCTATAATCTGCCTCGTCGCTCTCTCATTTTGCTTTGAAATAAAGTGCCCGCAACTTAAGCAATTAGAAAAACTAATTTCTGTTCAAAGTTTAAGTACTTTAGAGACTTAATATTTCGTTAATCTAAATTATTTTTATTTATATTTATTATATTGTACCCGTAGGATCACTGTTAATGTATCTAAAAGGCATTATGACCAAACATATAGAGACTAGTTAAAGTTGTCGTTATAGAAAATTGGTTTACTTGTCGCCTGTAATTTATCCAGAAGAGAAACAACAATTACTAGTTCTTTTATTCTGCTTTTGACTAAGGGACGCGATAGGGAACCAAATTTTCTTAGTAGAAACATTATCTCCCTAAGATCAAATATTAAACCATAAAGAAATTGGAATCCAAAGTAAAAAATAGTTGAAAACAGTAATTGTATGAAAACCACACATCTTTATTATTAATATTCTTATATTGTCTATTTTTGTTCTATTTTCTTATTTACCAAAGTGTGATCACTATTTGCTTACGCCAAATAGTTCTAGACAATGAAATACGAATTATCAAATCGAGTACACATAGCCTCCCCTTTAAAGTATTTCCCAAATGGATTTAATATGTATTTTCTGATAAGTTGTGAAAAGTATTTCATGCTTTCCGCGTTTCTTACTCATCGTTAGCTGGCATAAAAGACGGGCGCCCACGTCCCTTGTTATCAATTGATTTATTGATTACAGTAGCGGCGTGCCCAGAGGAACATATGGAATAGGTTCCCAACGTGAATTTTAAATGCTATGTAATTGCTATAGTATGTCTGTATAATTTCTACAAAATTAATAATGTATACAGAAATGTACAATGGGTACTTATTTCAATATCTTTGTCAACTCCATTAGCACCAAAGTTAACAGTTTTCTTAGGGTCTTGAAAGCTATTTTTACGTCAGTCAAGCCACTTACCAATAGCGAAACATTTGTTTAAATAATGGGAATTTCATCAGTTTTGTTTGCTGCCTTCCAGCCACGTTAATATTTAATCAAGCTAAAAGATCGCTTTTTGCCTGCCCCACTTAATATGATTATTATTGTTTAGTGGTGGTCGAGTCATGTCTGCCGTAGTCAAAACTGATTGCGTCTTATCATCGTCACATCGCCCCGAAGGTTACGTGATAAGACGCCCTCCAAGTTCTCCAATCTAGACAAATGGACGTTGCTGTTGCGGTGTCCACTGAATATTGTGTAATTTAGCATGACTTTGAACTTTGGGATTGCCATTTTTAACCCTAGTTAAGAGACAGCTTTCTATTTGTATCAATGCATGCGAGCACGCTTAGGTTGTTAAAACAATGAGGGCAAGGGGGTGTCTTATCTTTAATTTAAATATTAAAAATATTTAAAAAATAAACCAGAGAGAACAAAATAAATATTAATATTTCTTAAAGAATATTACTCGGAACAATAATGTCTTATTATTGATTGATTCATTTCTAAAAGTATTATAAGAATTATAATATTTATTCTATTTGCATGGAAATTGTTTTCGAACTGAGGTTCATGTAATGCGTTTAAACTAATACTATATTTAACTCGTTATTTGAAAACAACAAAATTAGGTTCTCATTAAATAAAATAAATTAATTTAATTGATAATTTTAACAGAACTAATTATGACAAGCTTTAAAAACGATTGAATACAAATTTTACCACCAGACTTTAACCGGATAGATTGTGTCCTTTATTTAACTGGCTTTCAATTTATCGTATTTATTAATAAATTATTTAAAGTTTTAATGAGCCTGTAGATATTTTTATTGTGTAGACTGTGGAGACAAAAGGAAAATGAGGCCATAATGTTACCAGTGCATTCCCTAGCTCAGATTTTAAATCATTTTTTAAATTTAAATACATTTCTGATTTATACTCTACCCAAATTAATCCAGTGTTTTGAAAATTTTATATTTTTAACTGGTATTTTACTAAATTACCGTTGCAAAAAGTGTGTTGTAGCCCTGGTTTGTTATCGGTGGCCGTTTCGCCTCATCCCTGGCCATGTGAGCGATAAAAGCACCGAAAAAAGAAATGAAATGAAAACAACAAAATCATTGACATTTCAAAAAAAGATAGTAAACAGCGTGCGTGTTAATATTTAATGAGAGACAGCTGAAATGTGTTGTTCCGCACGAGTCCCAAGTTTTGCTTAAATGTTGTGGCTGAGCAGGCAACGGGAATCTCCCCGAGAAGTTGAGCGATGAAATACGAATATAAGCTGGTAGAGATCTAAAAAAAAGCTATTTAATATATGACGAGCAAAGAATATTAAACTAACTAACTAATACAATGTTCTATCTGCAGCTGGCCACCGATGAAAAGCCGCTGCGGCGAAAAAACAGCGGTTCCCCCAATGGCAGCAGCGGCAGCAACCGTGGAACCAGCGGCCTCAAGATCTTCTTCCTCTGCCTGGTCATCTCCGCCATACTACTCGTCTTTGTGTTTGGTGTGTATCATTCATATTATGCTAAGAAGGATGTTCCCAAAGTTGTGCTAACTAAACCTTCTGTTTTCCCCACGGTCACCGTTCCGTATGTGCATGTGGAACCCCATTTCCCGACACCTGTCCGGCATGTTGCGCATCCTAAACCAAAAACCACCACCAATCAACCCGTCGACGATTCAGGCTTCGTCTCCGAGAATGCCAGCCCGTACTTGGCCCGCTTGGCCTCCAAGTTTGGCTACAGCAAGGTGCAGTATGCGGCCATCATTGATGCCGGATCCACGGGAAGTCGCGTCCTGGCCTACAAATTCAATCGCAGCTTCATCGACAACAAGTTGGTGCTCTACGAGGAGCTGTTCAAGGAGCGCAAGCCTGGCTTGAGCTCATTTGCTGACAATCCAGCCGATGGAGCGCACTCCATTAAGCTGCTGCTGGATGAGGCGCGCGCCTTTATACCCAAGGAACACTGGTCGTCCACTCCGCTGGTACTGAAGGCCACCGCTGGCCTGAGGTTGCTGCCAGCCAGCAAGGCGGAAAACATCCTAAATGCCGTCCGAGATCTATTCGCCAAGTCCGAGTTCAGCGTAGACATGGATGCGGTGGAGATAATGGATGGCACCGATGAGGGCATCTTCAGTTGGTTCACCGTGAATTTCCTGCTGGGACGGCTGTCCAAGACGAACCAGGCGGCTGCCCTGGATTTGGGCGGCGGCAGCACACAGGTTACATTCTCGCCAACGGATCCGGAACAGGTGCCCGTGTATGATAAGTACATGCACGAGGTAGCGACCTCCAACAAGAAGATCAACGTCTTCACGCACAGCTATCTGGGTCTGGGCCTAATGGCCGCCCGTCACGCCGTCTTTTCGCACGGCTACAAGAAGGAGGTCTCGGTGCTGGAGAGCGCGTGCGTCAATCCGATCATCGCCAATCGCACATGGACTTACGGCAACGTTCAGTACAAGATCAGCGGCAAGGAGAACCCCAAGTCCAGTGCCGAGCAGCCGATTGTGGACTTTGACGCCTGCCTGGAGCTAGTCAAGAGCAAGGTGATGCCGCTGGTCAAGCCCAAGCCATTTACTCTCAAGCAGCATGCTGTGGCTGCGTTCAGCTACTACTTTGAGCGGGCCGTCGAGACGGGCTTGGTGGACCCGATAGCTGGCGGAGAGACCACTGTGGAGGCGTTCCGTAAGAAGGCCCAGGAGATCTGCGCCATCCCCAATGATGAGCAGCCCTTCATGTGCTTCGACCTCACGTTTATCTCGACGCTGCTGCGCGAAGGATTTGGTCTTAACGACGGAAAGAAAATAAAGGTGAGTTCTAACGATATTTAATACTGATTCGATGTCTTAAGAATGATATTTCAAAGTGTTCCTAAGATAGTCTAAGCTAGAATTGTTTCTCGAATGTATTATGATTTCAATATTTGTTGATATATCTCTAATTAAATTAACTTGTTTCTATTGCAGCTTTATAAGAAGATTGATGGTCATGAAATCTCGTGGGCCTTGGGCTGTGCCTACAACGTGCTGACTAGTGACGAAAAGTTCAGTAATTCCTAACGCTCCTCTCCATTAGTCCATAGTAGATGACGAAATACATAACAGAATTGTTAGCTGAAATTGTTTATAGAGTGCCTTAGACGTGCATCGAGTATACTACAGATTACACACATAACATAAACACAACTCGGACATTGTCTATATACATATCGTTTAATATCGTTTTTGTGCTCTGTTGTAAGAATCATTTTCAATTGTCTATAATTGAAATCCACACACAAACTGTGACTACACTTAATGTTTAGTTCGTAATTCCAATTTCGTGTGATTCGTGTCTCTTTCGTAAAGCAATCTTTTTTGCCACGCTCTTAACTATTTAGTCCTTACACTTGAATTCCTCATGTACATAACAATTTACACATCGATATGTATTTACCTTAAATATGTAAAACGGCCTAGACTATATAGATATATTAGCGAGAACTTTCAAATTGTTTTTCTCACATACATATGCAAATGTTAGTTTAATTATTTTTGCAAATAAATCAATAAAATGTTAACATTGGTCTAAATAGTGTAAAGGCTATTTGATTTATAATTAATTATCTAAATCTTGGGTGGGAGGCCAGAAGTTCTTAATGCTCCCAGAGATCTAAACAACGTATTGGAACTTTGGGTAGCGAAATAAAGTAACCTCATTCTTGAATATCAATATCATTGATCGAGTTATAAAGTTAGGTAAACAACAAAATCTTGTTTGATCGTCAAATTAAAACACCCTTGTTTTGCTGTAATAAAATAATATATTTATTTAACGATTCCTTCATCTATCGTTATATAAAATATACATATAAGTTAGAGGATGGGTAAATGCACAACGTAGTAAAAGGAAAAATAGCATTGAGTACTACGTGAATAACATATTCTTGTGGTGGAATTTTGGTCTTTTTTTGTTTGTAAAAATAAATCTAGGAAATACGAGAGGTCTGATCGGAACTATGCAAAATTGATTGGCTAAAAATTATGTCTCTTTGATGCTTCACGGCCTGCTCAAGCGTTGCGGCTGAATGCCCAATCGATCAATGATGTACTGCGGCATACAGAGCGTGGGATTGATGGCCTTCAGGCCAGAGTGCCCCAGCAGGGAGAGGCCACCGATACCGAAGAGCGTGTGGAATATGTCGGGCATGTTGCCGGTGCGGTCGGAGAAGCCGCCGGTCTCCGAGTCCTGGCAGGACAGAATGAACTGCTGTAGCTTCTCGGAGCTAATCCAGTGAAGGCGACCCATTATCGTAAGAGAAGCGAGCACCCACCACGAGTAACATACATCCGGCAACTTCTCCGGACGACCATTCAGACCGCCAGAGGGCAACTGACGCTCGCAGAGCCACCAGCCCAGTTTGTCCACATCCAGCAGATGCAGGCGATTGGTCAGCGAGAAGAAGCCAACGCAGCAATAAATTAGACCTAGGAAATGCAAAATATGAGGAAAATTAGGATCACGTTAGTTCTTAGTCCAAGTAGGGAATATAAATGCCATTTTAAAGATGTAGCTTGAAAAGAAGTAACTTTAAAAGTATTGTGACTCACCCGCATGCGATTCCGCCCCCGGCTTGGATCCGAAACCTCCGTCCGTTTGGTTGCAACACGACAGCACAAACTTGACCGCCTTCTCCACATCGATGCTTTGGTTCATTCGCTGCAAAAGCGTGAGCGTGGCCACCGCGCAAAAGCTGAACCGTGTGTCCACCTCGCCCCACTTGTCGCCAAAGAAGCTGCCATCCGGCTGCTGCAATCCCACCACGAAACGTACCACCGCGTCGCAGTCGATCTCCTCCAGGGCGTCGTAGGTGCACAGGATCTGCACAGCAGACAATGTATACAGGAGGTGGGGATCGTGGCCTTCGCAGGGCGCAAAGCCTCCCGTTGTCGGGCACTGACAACGCTTCACAAACTCTATGATGTACTTGCGTTCCAGCCGATCCAGCTGACCCATTATGTCCAGCGCCGTGGTGCCCCAATAGATGCCCGACATGCGCAGGAACTCGGTCATGCAGTACTCATAGTCGTCCTCCTGCTTTCCATGGTTCTCGATGTACTCCACATGCTTCCAGAATTGGAGTGTCTGGGTGCCATTAGAGGCGTCACCGCAGCCATTGGAGGGCTTGACGAAGGTCGTGAAGTCCATCGCTGCTGATTGGCCTCAATTGAATCGGATCGAAACGGTCCTCCGCCTGGTGTTTCACTTGATTAAATGAATTAATTGGCACAGGAATAGTTGTGCGAGCAAACAAACAAATATCTAGAAGAGCCAACGAGCCGCAGCTGATTCATCAGCTTCGAGGGTTGGCAACGCGGGCGGTATGTTATCAAACAGCTGATCGGTTCAGTAGCGCAATCAGGGGGCACCGCGATAGGGCAGCAAAGTATTTAACCAAAATACACACAGAATAGATTTTGAATTGTACTTTATTGACACGAAATGAACGAGAAACGCGAGATTCGATACCTAACTATTGGACCAGGAGACTGGACTGTGGGTCGGGCTCGTCGATGCTGAGGGAAACAATGTGCTTGCCGGGCACCATTACGTTGCCCAGGAGGCGGGGCTCCTGGCCCTCTACCAGGTACTCGGCGCACATGGACAGCACAATGTTGGCATCACGGTCCGTGCAGTTGAAGAATCCGACCAGGACACGGCCGTCGGTGATGACGATACGCAGGACACGGCCCAGCCACTTCTGAAGCTTCTTTCGTCCGGGTGACAAGCTGGGATCGTTCATCTGGTGCGGGGCGTTGGTGGTGATGCGGAAGGGCTCTGCCACGGGTTGCGGCGCCAGAGGCACCTGCTGGCCAGTAATGCTAAGGTTCGTCATCTGGATTTTGTCGTCAGTGTAGAAATCAAAACAAAATAATGAATGGTAGGGTTGTTGAATATATCAAAATATTAATATATCGATATTTTTCTGAAAACGATATATTTATATCGTTATTTTTTGTGTGCCCAAATATCGATGTGGCGATATTTTTTTAAAATATTTTTTTATATTATCAATGATAGTCAAAATAAACTAAAAAAAACCGTTAAATTATTATTTTGTTTGTTTTTCTATAGCACTTTTAAAATGAAGACTACATGTTTATAATACTGTAATTTACAGATCTCGAAATGAAGGATTACATCATTAAAAAGAATAAACATGAAAAAGAATTTAACCAGCGCAAAAGGAATTTTAAGAAGTCCATAATTTAAGTAAGCATTTTAATTAATATTTTTTGTTGCAGCCCTGGTTCTCTACATAGTACTGAAACGGTCTCACTAAAGCGATCAGCTGAATCCACTTATCGCGGCAATTTTCCAATTTATCAAAACTTTTTCACTCTCTTGACTATTGAATACTATTATTAAGCGAGAGCAAAAATGTCGGGCAAGGCATTAAATATTGGTGATACATTTCCCAACTTCCAGGCGAATACGAGCGAGGGAAAAGTTGATTTCTACGATTGGATGGGCGATAGCTGGGCTATCCTGTTCTCCCATCCGGCGGATTATACGCCCGTGTGCACCACGGAATTGGGACGAGTGGCGGCCCTGATTCCTGAGTTCCGTAAGCGCGGCGTTAAGCCCATTGCCCTGTCCTGTGACACCGTTGAATCGCACAAGGGCTGGATCCAGGACATCAAGAGCTTTGCCAGTGGGTTTGGGTTGTAAGGGCTTGAGACCGTCGTCCGTTCTAACAGTTTCTTAATGTTTTTAGAACTCGACAGCTTCGACTATCCAATTATAGCCGATGACAAACGGGAACTGGCCCTTAAGCTTAATATGCTGGACAAGGATGAGCTTAATTCAGAGGGTATTCCTCTCACCTGTCGAGCTGTTTTTGTTGTGGACGACAAGAAAAAGCTGCGCCTATCCATTCTTTATCCAGCCACCACTGGACGCAACTTTGAGTGAGTTTCGGATAAAATTTCATTTTTCACTTCCCTTGAAATAGCACCTTTTGAATAGTTATTAATCCTATATTTCCCGTATGATTTCAGTGAAATCCTTCGGGTCATCGATTCCCTTCATTTGACCCAAACGAAGAGCGTCGCTACGCCAGCGGATTGGAAACAAGGTGGAAACTGCATGGTATTGCCCACAGTTAAAGCCGAAGATGTTCCGAGACTCTTTCCCAGCGGCATTGAGACCGTTGAAGTGCCTTCTGGAAAGCACTATCTACGGATCACACCCCAACCCTAAGGACTCTTTTTTCCAAATGTGTCATTGTTTTTTATTACAAAAATTATAATACAACAAAAATAATGCACAATAAAGTTTAAGCGCTTACAACCGTATTTCAACAGAAATTGCGAAGAACGCCTTCTGCCTGACGAAAATGTGCAAAAACATTCGACTTACGAGCTAATATATCTGATGATTGGGGGAATGTGACAAAATATAAGGTCGCGTTTCGATCTACAAAATAAATATACATACAAAATACATAAATATGTACGAGTACAAAAGTAGGGTAAAGATAGTAAAGATATTGCAACTGGATTTGAAAATTGTATAAATAAGGCCAACTCTGTACAATAACCGAAGAACCGCTTTCGTGGAGAAACGAAAGGTAAAGACCAAGCTCGTGCCCGTAACCAAAGGTATCTGAAAATGATAGTACATAGTAATTAGAATTTGAATAATTATTATGTTATTTAAACTGATGTGTAATGTAATGTGTTATATCGATGATCAAGAATATGTACATATATAATTATCTCCCATAAACAGAAGACCAAGATACGCACTTTCCCTTGTTTAAATAATCGAAGGTATTCAAACAATCGGCATGGGTTTGGGTGATCGTTTCCTTAAATATGTTAATGAAATGCAAACAAGTATACATGTAAAAGCTTTCGCTACCAAACAGGTTTCTCCGTGGCCGTGAATCTTACGGGAATACTGCTCTCATATATTGAATACAATATTCTGATATTAACTTGAAGTCACGGATTATCAATGGAGGACTTATTTTTGGAAAATATAAAGATTGTTTTGATTGCTTTTAGAGAAAAGATTAGATTAAAGTCGGCTTCATAAAGGTAGTTTTCTTGTTTCCCCAATGGGTTTTAGGTTTAGGTTTCGGTTTGAAGAAATTGTTGTGTACTTACAATTAATCTACCACATGTCCCTGCATCCTTGTGCATACTTTCTGTGTCAGCGTCTGCGCTGCGGCGATGCCTGTTGGAGCATTCGCGCAAAGCGTCGCACCAGGAAAGGCCACAGTATGAGGACGGCGAACCAGAGCGGGGAGATGTTCTTAAACGGCCACCAGGCTGGCTGTAATCTCGACGAGGCAGCTGCCGCTGCTCCCCTTGACTTTTGAACGTTGCGCACCTCATTGACGGCTTGTTCCAGGCTGCGAACACGTTGCTGCACAGCACTCACATCGGTGTTCATGCGCGAAATGGCAGTCTGAATTTGGCGCAACAGGTCCGTATTCTGTGCAATCGCCTGGGTCAGCTCATGGCTGAGATCGTAGGGATCGTCGTACTCGTCATCCGATGGCTCCACAATCGCAACGCTGCTATTGCTTGTGTAGTTGTGACTGTCATGTGCATAGTTGGAGGATTTAGAGCCGTAGCCATTGGTCAGGGGTGGCGAGACGTGGCCGTTGGTCACCACTGGGACCGCACTGGGGCCGTTCTCTTTTATCGTTTCAGATGTGGCCATTGGTGCCTCCTCCAGCTCTGACTCCCCGTTGCAGCTAGACCCGTGCTGAGGACTATTTGTGCGTGAATGGAACGGTGAGTTCGGATGCGACTCGGCCAACTCTCGCATGCCCGGCGATACCAGCTCTAGTTCGTCCAGATTTATGTTCCCCAGACTATCGAGGCTGCCCACAAAGTTCTGCACGTTCTCCGTGAACGACATCGTCTCAATGATCTCCTGCAGACTCTCCACGTAGCGCTGCATGGCCTGCTCCTTGGTCATATGACGGTTGTCATTCCACGCGTCCCACTTGGCTTTGCCAACGATGTCCCAGAAGCCAGGCTTCCGCTGGAGGCAGGCGCCCTCCGTAGCCTGCTTGAACAGGCCGTAGAACTTGAGCATCATGCCGGTGCTGGGCTGGTAGGGTCCATTCTTGGGCAGCCCCTTGATCACGTTTACGGCGGCCTGGAAGCGTTCCTCGATGGCGGCCATTCCTGCAAGATTAAGTCAATGGTTATAGTTGTTTTCCGTAATGCGCGATTATCGGCCTCCGAGCGATAAGATATACATACATATATACAAATGCTCAACGGCTGGCCAAGGCGATAATCTCAGTCTCGAGATGTGGCCTACAGCTCTCGGCTGCCGCTTACAAATTACCTACTTATTTCGCTATTTTGCAATCCGAATTGGTGTTGCAAGCCTCTGCTCCGCTGTCTGCTCTATTGTCTCTCGTTTATTGATTCCGCTGTGCATTCATAGATTCGGGCGACGTTTTCGGATGCGAGGCGACCGCTGACCGCTGGTGACAAAGTTCGAGTTCTGAAGTTCAGTTCTTCTGAGCTTCGGCTGAAGCTCTCTACACAGTTCTTATCGACCTCGGCGAATCGACGAGTAATTATTGCGCTTCGCTGGCGTAAATCCAAGTTGCAATCAAATAAAACTAAACAAAAAACAAAAACTCGAAAACTCTCGTGCAGTGTTGGCAGTTTGGCTTTCTTCAGGCTAAATCTGGTATAATCGAAAATGGGAAAGCTTATGGAAAGCTTATAGCCCGTAAACTAGCTTATTATTCATCTATTATATTCGTGATAATAATTTATTTTATAGAAATAGTTACTAAACTTTTTTTTGCCTATGTTAAAGTGCATGTGATAAAAACAACAACAAATATTTGAATTAATTATTTAGCACTTTCAAATATTAAATTTAAAAAATTCCAAGTAGATAAAATGAATCTTTGTTCTATGGCAGTATCGACTGGTAAATTTTGAGCAGATGATCGTAGGAAATAGTTTTCATTTCATTATAATTGAAAACTATGTTGTAAGTTTTCTTGGATTTGGATGTGGGTTATTGTTTTAGATACATGTTTTGTTCGTTTTAAGCTTGTTTTTCCGAATCTAGCTCATTCGTTTGCTCATCACTGGCAACACTGTTTGGTACAGAAAAAATATAGAAAGTGTGACCATAATATGAACGTTTAAATAGGATGAAAGAGGAAGAGGAACGAATATTGAACACAAAAACCATTGGGACGTTTTAAATTTTTTTGTTTTATTATTCCAAAATTTATTTGGTGTTTATTGTTTTAAATTGTTGTTTTAGTAATTGTTGTTGTTTTGTAATGTGTAATTGTTTTGTAGTTGTAGTTTTTTTTAGTAAGTTGTATGTGTTGACGGGGTGGACCCATGTGACCCATGTATTTATTTTTTGTTTTTCTCCAAACTAAATAAGACGTAGTGGTAGAGCAGAAACGGACAGATTATTAAGATTTTATTATTTACAAAATTTAAAATACGATAAGTTAAACTGCCCATATATTTATCGATAACAGCAATGTCTCCATCGCCATCCGAGGGATTTCCCCGCACCTCGTCATACGGTCACTCACTTTTTCATTTCGTCAAAATCAGTAATCAAAGTGCTTAATTATTTGCATTATTTTTAACCAAACGACCGCAAAGCTTTCGAAAGCTGCCATTGTCGAGTCAACATAGTGCCAGTGCTGGCCCACGCAGAATACCCAATATCCGGAGGTTAGCGGAACGGAGTAGGGAATCGCTAATCTAAAATCGACATTGAACGCAAGCAAGGGAATTTCACAAGAGCTGCGAACAGAGGGCGGGTGTCTGCCAGCGCGGAGAGTGACTTCATTGCAATCAAACATGAAATTTGCTGCAACGACAACCAGAGCACGACATTTTTGTACTATCGCCCAGCAGCAGAGTGTGAATAAAATACGCCCGCAACAGCCGTCGACCTTCATTCCGCGATCGAAGTTGAACATTTGCAAGCGCCGCGTGCAGCAGCTGCAGAGACAGTCGTGTAGAATTTCCAAAAATTGGAAGCACCAAAGCTTCTGCATAGGTGCGTCCTGATCAAAATCGGTTCCGAACAACACAACTAGCCCCCGAGAGACAAGAAATAAATCCGGATTCTAACCTCAGTTCTGTTCGTAAAAGAAATCAATAAATTGGTGAAAAGGAACCACGTGCGTTTAGTTGCCGCCAAAGCGGGAGTGTAGACATTTTTGCCGTCGTGTAGACTTCTGCCTTCTTTGTCTCCATCTTTGGACAGAAGGACACACTCGGCTACAGGGAATCGGTTCCGATTTTTTCTTTGTTTTCTGCTGTGTGCCGTAGCAGGCCAAACAATAACAAAGCAAACGTCGTCGTCGTTGAGTTCAAACAAAATTCGTGAACAACGCAAAAACAGATCGGCTAACAACAACAGCAACATGCCGCGACGCAACAAGAAAGCAGGAGCAGGCAAAGGTGAGTCACACGAGGCGGAACGAGATGGCGATAGATGTGTGGGAGGGGGAAAGATGTGCCGGTGCAGGCGAAATTTTCACAGCTGCTTTTTCGCTTGACCTTTGCATTAGTCATTCCCATTCGTCATGACTAATAAATACTGTGTACTATATGCACTAGATTGTGTATTTCGTTGGCTTCCAAAAACAAAAGCTTTTTCTGTGCCCACAACCTGTTTGGCAATATCAGCCGAAATGGGCACCCCCAATACCGTGGATACATTCAAAAACCAATGGGTTTTGTTTAGAATAATAATATTATTTAGTAAATACTTGGCCGAGCTTTACCATAACAGGTTTTAAATTGTGGATTATCCTAATCTACTGATAAATTAATGTCACAGGGTATTTAATTTGTAGAGTACCCACTGTCTTTGCGCTTTGTTGCTGTGCTGTGTTGGCACGAAAAGCTCTTCACGCGCTCAGCTGGCTACGCAACAACACAAGCAGTGAACTGAACGCCAAATATATATAAATACTTGAATATATAAATGTATATACATACAAGTACGTACATGTATTCAAACACACAAGCTAACGTTCAATGCCATCTTATCAGAATCACGCAAAACAACAAAAAGTAGATTGGAATGCCTCTGTAGTATTATTGCAGGGTATCATTTTGGTTATTATTTCAGTAAAGAATGAGTATTACTCATTATAACTAAGGAGTTATATTTCCAGTCAAACCTTTATGATTTTTCCAGTGCTGTGAAGACATTTCTCTTGATATTTAAGAGCTTAATAATGCGAAAAAGTTGAGTTATCTGGTTCACGCTGACATCTCTAGTAAAATGTGCCTTAGATCATTGTTTATAATATTTTCTCACTGTATATCTAGATAATAATTAAACAATTATTTAATTACTTATAAAATTAATTAATTAAATAATGTGGCATGAACTTATATACCAGATCAGATATAAATATATTTAATAACCCATTATTTATGCTCTATATTTAGGGTAACATTAGGTACATCATTATATTTCCCCATTGCTTTTGAAAATCAAGAAAGACGCGGAAGTTTTCGCTCTTTGAGAAACTATTTCTATCCTCTCGTTGCTCAGCCGCCTTATCGGGGTGACCTAAAAATTATGCAACTCTGTGTTATGCAGCATGTACATACCTTCACTTGGGCCAGATTGCTTACGCTCCCGAATCTAATCCAAACAACTTTCAGACCGCACCAACAGCTGTTTTTCTACCTGGCCAGCAGCAGCCGTAGTTACAGCATGCTGTGTCGCCGTTCGCCTTTGTGTAAAAGGTGAAAAACAAGAGACTGAGGCGGAAACTACCTTGCCCCAAATAGAAAACAGGCAGTGGAAAATCGCCATAATGAAAGTTGTTGTTGAGTGCGACGACGACGGGTTTTCTTTTCTTTCTTTGGCTTGTCGCAGTAAGCAAACAAAAAACTGCCGAGAGAAAGACGCCAAAACTTGTTGCACAACATTTGCTCTCAAAAACCATATGGTCTTGAAGGTCATTGCTGTGTAGCGAACAATATAATTGAATTTCTAATTTGAATTTACACCACATACATATGTACATATATAATTACATGAGTATGTATTTAGTTTAAATTAAAATGAGTACACGCAAGAGAATGGGAACTGCTTAAAGACGGAAGAGCTTGGCATATTGTAGCGGTATGTTCGGTTTGACAAGCACTGGGCTCAGATAGTGTTTGAAGCAGTTTGACGGATTTTGTAGCCATTGGAAAAGCGGTGGCATATCTCCAATATTTTTCTTTTACTTTTATTTTTTTTCTAATATTTATTTTGGGTAATATTCTTAAGTATTTTAAATAGAAGTATCAAAATAATTGGTTAATCAATTTTCCCAACCAAGATTTCTTAGGTATTATGAAAAATATCAATAATAATATTATATTATAGAAATATATGTTTTAATTATAGAACAAATATATGCCAACTGATATTTATTTAATTGTTTTATTATAGTTACTATTATTATTTTTATTTATTTTTTGTAAGTTAATTGCAATATCTTACAATATATCAATCTTTTCGGCAACCCCAGCTATATTTAATACTTTTAATTAAGATTTAATTACAATAATATTTAACCAAACTTAATTTTTTCGCAGGCCGCACCAATGACTCAAATTCTGAAGACGAGTCCTTCGACAATGTTAGCGTTTATTCGCACATCTCGGAGGTCGCTTCCTCGGAAGCCACCGACGAACTGGCCAACGAGCGTTTCGAGGAGAAGTTTGAGAAGGCCCTAGAGCAGGCCACCGAGAAGTCGGCCCAGACCCGTGTTCAGGCACTCCAAGCGATTTGCGAACTGCTTATGCATCGCTATATGCCAGATTTTGTGGAGGACCGCAAAATGACCCTTATGGACTTCGTGGAGAAAAGCATTCGCCGGGGCAAGGGACAGGAGCAGGTGTGGGGCGCTCGGCTCGCTCCCCTCCTGGTACTTCAATTGGGCGGCGACGAGGGTTTCTCCAAGACAATGAACCAGTTCCTGTTGAACACCGTGCAGGACAAATCGGTGGGCTTCGATGCACGTGCCAAATGCTGCACGGCCCTGGGACTGTTGAGCTTTTTGGCCTGTGAGGATGTGGGAGAGTTGGTGCAGCTGATGCAGTACTTCGAGGCCATCTTTGCCGGCAGTTACTTGCGGGGCGATGACAAGACCCCAGTGTCTGTCACCTCTGAGGCGGGTACTCTTCATGCTGAGGCTCTGTCTGCCTGGGGATTGCTACTCACACTGATACCGTCCGGTGACTTTGTTTCCCTCATGACAACTGGTCAGCACATGTTCCCGTAAGTACTCTTAAAAACTCTTAAATGAGAGAAAGCTTATAATTAAAAGATTTTTTTTAGTTAGTTAGTTAACATATTTAAATGAAATCAATTGCAGTTCTATCAAGAAGTTCTTGGGCCTTTTGCAATCCACACACTTGGATGTACGCATGGCCGCTGGCGAGACTATTGCTTTGATACTGGAATCGGGCCGTGCCCATGACGAGGACTTCCTAGAGGATGATATCGGTGAGCTATGCGATGCTGTCAAGCAACTGGCCACCGATTCGCACAAATACCGTGCCAAGCGTGATCGCAAGGCCCAGCGGGCGACCTTCCGTGATGTGCTGCGCTACCTAGAGGTGAGTGATCTTCAGCTTTACAAATTACCCATCATAGAGGGAGAGGATTGTTTGTGTAAAGACATTTATTCAAACCAAAATAATGCACAAGACTTTAAATCGAGGAAGGACTGGATTACTTCATGTCAGCGCAAGTAAACTTGAGCTCGTGCTTGCAGTACTTGGCCAAGCACTTGGAGTGATCGTGCAGCTTGTTGCGCATAATGACACAACCATTGCGACTAATCGAGTCCATGTACTCGGTGAAGGTGGGCATCTTGCGGTATGTGGTTGGAGCTGCGCTCCAATGCGAGTTGCTTCCAGATTCGACAAACTGTGAGGAATCCGAAAAGGTAGTCTTGAACGGCTTGTATGTCTTTTCGCACTCGTCCCGCGACACCTCGAAACCGGTGGACGCTTCACGTTCCAGTTCGTTCATCACATTCGAACGGAACTCTGAGCAAGGTCCGCGTTCGGTCATCATCTTGTTTGTGTGTTGCTTAGAGTCGTCCTCAGTCTTCAGGCTGTCGTATATGCCGTCCGGATACTCGTTCATTGCGCAGTAATCGATTTGATAGGTCGTGTACATGCGATTATTCTCCAGCCTTCGGCTCAGTTCCTCCTTGGGCATAACCTTGAGGCGCTCGTACAGATCCGGGTAGACGGTGCGCAGGATCTTCAGGAAGCGATTGGGTTGCAACGTGTGACAGTCAGACTCCGCCGAAAAGGCCATGTTGTCCGCCTGATCCTGGGTGATCTGGGTGGGTATGAGTCGCGGATCCACCAGCTTACCCATCGGTGCAATTCCTGTCCACTCTACGCCGCCACAGTCCTTGGCCGCCACCGGAATCTTGATCTTTTCCTCATCTATGCATTGACACTCGATGACTTGCGGGGGTTCCTGACCACCGGGACGTGTGAGGAACTCGTACCTTTTGGCGTTTGGCGGTACATAGTCATGTTGATAGGTTGATAGCATCATTTTGAAGACAATTTATTTAAAAAGAAATTGATTTTTTTTTGGTTTTTTTAAAAAAATTTTTAAATTTTTAATTACACCGAGAAATTTTGTATTAAAACATGGAATTTAGTCTGCTTTGCGTGAAAAGAAAACTACAACTGATTATTACACACATTTCCCAAAAACTAAATAGGAATTTCCAATCGTTGCCTACCTTGATTAATAATTCTCTTTTTTTGATTTTTATAGGAGGACATTTCACCCGAAATTAGCATTCGCTTTGGAAACGAGTCCCTGACTCTGGATGCCTGGTCCATACACCATCAGTATTCGGCTCTGTGCACGGTCATGGGTCCTGGCATGACATCTCAGCTCCAGGAGAACGAGTTTATTCGCGACATTTTCCAGTTGGGACCGCGTCCTACCAACACTGGCATCAATGGCAACGCCAAGGTCAAGCCATCAAAATTGGAGCGGGTAAGTTGACAATAATGGCGTGGATTGCGGACCGCGACTATACTATGCTATATGGCTTATGCTAGTTCCCTGGATTATTAAATTAACGCTATACTCTTTTTTTTCGTTTCCAGCACCTCGTTAATGCTGCCGCATTCAAGGCACGTTCCATAACACGCGGAAAGAATCGTGACAAGCGTTCGGCCGTGGTTACCTAAGGCTACACAAACCATATTTTCAAGTCTGCCCCATACACAATGACCCGGAAACATCCATCTCAAAGCCCCGATAGCCAAGAACTCTGGACTAACTAGTTAAATTTATTTAATTTTAGCTTGAATCAGGCAGAGCGTGTAGCCAAAGCTGAAGAACTAAGTCTAAATTTTAGGATAATTTTTGCGAATAATGTAACAAAATTGTTCTAGTTTTTAGCCGCACCAATAGCAAGAGCCATTATTTAAATATTTTTGAATATTTATCGCTTAGCGCAACTGCAACTGTTGTGTTTCTCTTACTGTGCGGTAGACGCAGCAGCTTGATTCTTATATTCTGTGAGTTTTAACTTCGATTGTTATTCTACTTCAGTGGGGGACACCGAACCCTTTAGTTGTTGATCATTATTTAATTACAAGTGTATACAATATCTATTTCAGCTTCAAATAGTTGCTAAAATAGTTGAAAGGGAAAATACTAAAGTTGGTCATAGCTTGACTTGCTTTTATTACATGTATATTATATAAGCTATATAATTCGTACATATATATACATATATTTTGTAGTAGATACGTGTAAAATAAATGATTTTAGGCTTAAACACTAATTACAACTCTTTTATTTTGAGCCGGAATCGATGTATTTTCTGATGTGAAAATACTACCATAAAAACATCTCATAGTCCAACTCAAATTTATTAAATACGAGATCGAGTATGAATCCCTCGGGACTTTTTGGTTTAGCTTTTCTAAATTTGGTGTTAAAGTTCCAGGTCTACGAAACTTTATTTATACTTGGGAATAAGCCTATGACTAAACACAAGGACTGTACAGAAACTAACTTCTGAACACCACCGTTCCGATTTTACGTTCAAACCTGGTGAACCATTTGAAGATTTTAAAACGCAAGTAGTTAGAATCTCGGCCATTATCCTTTTTAATTTGGAAGGTCTCTCTGTCGACCAGGGTATCGACTGGGTCCGACTTGCATAGATCCTGGTCTTGGTGTATGCGTCGAATCTACTTCAAAGATGACAGTAAATAGCGATACTCTCTAAATATTAATGTTATTATATATAAAACTATATTTTAATGTTCGATATATGTGCGATTTTATATACAATATAATGCATCCCTTTTAAATAAATTAATTTCTTAGATCCGATTCTTATTATTTTCCAAATAATATATAGAATATCATCCCATTGATTGATTGATTGATAACAAATTGTTTCCAACCATTCATAATTATCCATTATTATTTAAAAGTTTCCCCCAAAATATGGATTAAATAAAATAAATACTGGCTTTTAAGTTTTATAAATTTTTAATTATTCTTTAATTGTTTGTTTTTTTATCACAAAAATTGTATGGTAGCTTAAATTATATGTGTTGGATTTTGCTTTTCTCTTCTCTTAAGGATTGTGTGTATGTTTTACTTTGCTTTCGACAAATCGTGTGTGTAGCAACTACAATAAATTGCATATATATGTATATGTATATATGGGCGCAACATATATGTGTATGTTTATATAAATTAGCTTCTTAAATTGTTAACTTAGGATTTAATACGAAACTTATGCCAATCGAATACAAAGTAAAAACGTATGTAATTCGCTTATTTTAATATTCGCCAAGTACTTGTTCCAAGGATGAAACCGAATATGAAATGGATGAAATCGAAAATGCCTTCATAAATTATGTTGTAAGTTTTACTTAAGAAAAAAAAGGAAAATTATAAACTACAGGTCAGCATAATGGGCCGACTTACTGGCGCATCTCAACAGCTATGTAATCAGCTCATCGGGCTACTTGGCAACACGTTCATATACTCATCATAATCTCAAGAAATTCTCGGTTCTCTACTGACCTACGCCTCTTACACTACATATAATATTTGGCTTCTTTTAATACATTTCGCTTTTGGAAATCTGCATAATGATAATTTGAGAGACGAAATTGACTCGCTAATCGAAACGCTAACGTGTTAGCTAAATCTATGTACACGGTTGAGGTTTTGGGGGAGCAGGCGGGTGGAGGCCATCCCCATAAACTAATAATTGAGCATTGAGCAAAATGTGTGCTAAACGCATTCTAAACTAAGGTAAGTAAGTAGATTTTTTAATGTCTGTAAGTTCAGCTGATGTGTTTGTGGGGGGAGCGTTCATCTTAGGAGGCCTGTGCCCCCGTCCTAGCCGCAGCCGCTGTTGAAGTGCTGGCACTGCTAACCTCCTCGCAAATAGTGTGAAGCTTCTCCATCTCCGAGCTGGTCACTATATTGATCGAACTGACTTTGGCACGCTGATAGGCCACCACTGTATTCTCGCCCAGGCACTTGACGCACACGTAGCCAATGAGGACGGCGATGCCAACGGTCATAACACGCACCAATGGATCCACGTACATCTGGATAACAACCCAGGCAGTGGCACCGGTCACGCACATCAAAGTGATCAATATAACCGTTTTGGACCAATGCTGGATGGTGAAGCCCTTGTCCCATTCGAGTCTGCAAACGAAAAGAAATAGAATTTTATTTAGAATATACTTTTGTGAAGGGGTGGTTAAGATATTAATATGTAACATATATCGAAATATACCAATATTTAAATACTTAAGATGTATTTTAAAATATTTTGATTAACATATTGGGCCCATATAATGGGGGAAAATCAATTGAAACACGTTTTTTAGATACATTTCTATTATGCCGATATTTCAATTATTTCATCATCATTTTCAATTATTTCAGGCTTAAGCTATTTTCGATATATTATTTTTATTATATGTATATTATATTGGACTTTTCCCCTCGATGATCATATTTACTTTGAAGTTTGCAGTCCAATTAACAATTCCTATATATTTTCTATTCCCTCAACCTGCATCAAAAACGCTAACACGGTAAGTGTTTATTATTTATATAATTTTTTTATCAAAAAATGTATAATATGATATAAAAGATGAGGGCAAGTTAAAGTTATAAAATATCTACTATATATTATCGAAATATTCGAATCTGATATTCGAATAATAATGAAGCTGTTAAAAAAAACAAGAAATCAGTACTCACTTCTTGGACTTCTCGATCTCGTAGGGATGCCCGCAGACCTTGCACGACAGTTGAGCCTCCGAATTGCTGCAGCTCTCCACCAGCCAACGCTTGAGGCACTCATGATGCACTGAGCTCACATCGCCGGTGCAACGGCAGGGCTGGATCAGGGGCTCTGGCTTATCGCTGTCATAGCAAATCCAGCAGTCCTTCTTGGTCAAGAACGATTGACCCTCTTCGGGCGACAACTTGTTGGTTTCCGCATTGAGCGTGGGTATCGATGGATCGATTTGGCGTGATAGCAGCTTGCGGGGATTCAGGATCCATAATTGTTCGGGCGCCATCGAATTCCAGAGGCAGCAAGGGAACCACAGAGCAACTCCGATCTCGGCGATGCGGAAAATAATGTCATGCCAGTTCCGCGAGTTAACAGGAACTCTGTGTGATTTAAAGAAACGTAAGGCATCTGTTCTTGCTAATTAAAAAAGCTATTTTTTACTTACTTGGCCTTCCAGAAATCGCCCAAAGTTTCGGAGGTAAGAAAACCTACAATCACAATGAGCATCACCGCTTGACTCAGCAGCCCGAATCGCGACTGATGCAATTGCGATGCATTCACTATCGCCTCGCTGGGACCAAGGATCTTGCCCGTCTGATCGTAAACGAAGCCTCCGCGTAGCTTGAAGAACACCTCCACGCCGTAGATGAGGAAGAAGACCACTACGATGAGGAGTAATACTGCATAGCATCCGTTGAAGATGTGGGCGTAGTCGCGTCGTTCCGCGTTGATCAGTGAGTTAAAGACCTCGATGCCAAACAGGCTGTACAGGAAGAAGTTGAAGGCGATAAAGCCGAGGAAGCTCTTTGAGAGGAACTGCGACTTCTCCCAACGAATGTCGCGCAGGTGAAAGATCTGTAATGGTGAACAGCACAAATGCGAATGAATATAATGAGTAACTAGGTTCTTCTCCTTCTCACACAGTTTCTATATCATTTTGGGTTCTGGTGTACGTACTCTCGCCTCAAAACTTAATTAATAGCGTTCGTCTATCGGGAGGGAGGCAGGCCCCAATATACGTTCCGCAAAAACAATTGAAATTGGCCAGAGACTTGCGGGTGCGAAAGTACTTGACTCGTTATCGCAACTGGCAAGTGCAAGTGAACTTCGGATACAAGGTAAGAGCGAAGAACAATGGTGTCAGAGAGTTTCCCCCAGTTTCCCCATCCAGTTGTCGGAGCGATCAAATAAGTATATTTCTACGTCAGGCTATTCAATCGCAATTTTTGAGCAGACTATTCCCACTTAGTGGTGGACTCGTGACTAGCAAAATATTACCTAGCTTTGGCTTATCACAGAAATTTATGAAATGAGTTCTTTTACTTAGTAGTTAAGATAAGTTGTTATCATTATTCAAATGCGTTAGCTAGCCAGAAAAAGCTAAGTGAAAAGTGT